TCGAGCCAGCCTTGGACGCAGATCGATCACATTGCTATTAGTTACCGCTGGAGAGGCTGCATCCAGAACTGTTGCTCGATTTGGAGTACATGTGTGGACACCGATCATGCACTTGTATGTGCTGACATACGGATGCGTTTTGGCTGACGCCCACGACGACGCTGTGAGCGTATTGACACCAGCCAACTGACAAAGCTAGCTGTTCTGCATTCGTATCGAAGTGCGCTGACATGCGAATTGAGTAATCGCTCACTGGAGACAATTGATGGTCACTGGTCACATGTTCGCCAGACCTTAATAGTAGCAAGCAAATCCTCATGTGGTATGTCTAAAAGCCAACATGGACATTGGGTCTCTTCTCGGTTTCTGGAACTTATCGACGCTCGCCGGCATATCCCGGCTGGAAGCGAGCACAATGAAACTCGCAAAGAGCTCCGGGCAAAACTCTGTGCTAGCCTGAAGTGAGACCGCGAATCTTGGTGGTCTCACCGTGCGTCAGAGATGGAAGTGGCCGCTGCCCATGACAACCATCGTAAGTTACTCCGTCAAATACGGGAAACCGGCAGCAGGAGACCCGGTGTTAGTGAAACTATACGTGACGAGAGTGGACAGCCTATCCACAATTTGTCAGAACGTTTGGAGCGTTGGGCTGAGAATTTTGAAAAACAATTTAATCGGCCGGAATTGTTCGATTCGTCGGTCACTGATCGCCCCGCTCCTTGGGCTGTCCCTTTGGATCCACCCTCTCTCTCAGATGTCGAACGTGAGATCGGACTGTTGAAGTTGAACAAAGCCGCGGGACCAGAAGACCTTCCTCCAGACCTCTTCAAATTCGGAGGCTCTACCCTTGTTGATGCTCTACATGAATTACTAGTGAAACACTGGGAACAGGAGACTGTCCCAACCAACTGGAGCCGCTCCGATATTGTTCCCATCTTCAAAGGCGGCTCGCGCTCGGAATGCGGCAACCATAGAGGAATCAGTCTGATCTCCATCGCCTCCAAATTACCCGCCTCCATAATTCTTCACAGACTGACTGGCGCTCGTGAAAACCAGAATCGTGAGGAGGAAGCCGGGTTTCGTCGTGGTCGTGGCTGCATCGACCACATCTTCACCTTGCGTCAGTTGTTGGAGCACCGTCACACATATTGGCGGCCCACCGTAGTCGTGTTCCTCGACATCAAAGGTGCCTTCGATTCGGTTGATCGATGTGCCCTTTGGAATTGTCTACTCACGAAAGGTGTGCCCGAGAAATATGTAAATATTATCCAAGCATTATATGCGCGTAGCACGGGCAGAGAAAGGGCTTACAGCAGGCTGTCGCCACCCTTCAATATCTCCAGCGGTGTGGGACAAGGATGCCCGCTGTCACCTTTCCTATTCAACTTCGCTATTGACGAAGTCATGGAGTTTGCATTTACAGGACATGACTTGGAAGATGTGCAGCTACTCCCAGGAGAACGACTTCTTGAATTGGAGTATGCAGACGACATTGCTCTCATCTGTGACAGCTCCCAGACGTGCCAAGCCGCGCTGGACAGATTAGCACTGGCTGTCAGCCGCTTCGGGCTTTGCTTTGCACCATCGAAATGCAAAGCGTTCCTCCAAGATTGGCAGGGATCGCCTCCTGCGCTGACCCTTGATGGGGATCAGCTGGAAGTCGTTCAGAAATTCAATTACCTGGGAAGTTGTATCAGCGCCCTTGGGATCGAAGACGAGATCACGAACCGTATAGCGAAAGCTCGAAGTGCTTTTGCTAACCTTCGCCATCTATGGCGGCGGCGCGACATCACTCTCGCCCTGAAGGGTAGAGTGTACAATGCAGCGGTACGTTCGACCTTACTGTACGGTTGTGAAACCTGACCCATTAGATCAGCCGAAACAAATAGGCTAGTCATGTTGGACTACCGGTGCCTTCGCAATATAGTTCACATGTGGTGGGAACACCGCGTGTGCAACGAGCGTGTTCGACGGCTTGTTTACGGCACAGGAAAAGGGCATGGACCGCTCAGCACCGTTAGTTCACGCATCAGGCTCCGACAGCCATGTGTTACGCATACCAGTCCACGGACTCCCTCGACGTGCGTTGTTTGCTCACCGGGGATGTGGGTGGAAGAAGAGGAGGGGTGGCAAGCGATGACTTGGTCCAGAGGAATGAAGGCCCTCACTTCGAAGCTAGCCTCGGTTGAAGCGTCACGGCTCCCTGGTTGGGGTCCAAAAGACGGTGAACACGTTTGGCTAGATACACTTGCTGACATGTCAAGGAGCCGACCTCAGTGGCGTGAGTTTCTTTGTCCCTCCCCATCCCTTTTAGCCTCCCCGTCCATCTACGATCTTATTTCCTAGGGCAAAACATAATAAAATAATTTTCTTTTTGCCTAGTAGCTGGCTGGAAGCTTACCGGAACGATGCCTATCCGCTGCTGGTAGCTCAGCTGGCATGCAACTGTTGTATCTATCTTTCCTTAGTGTATTGTATTATATGTATGTATTTCCTTCATGTATTGCGGCACAATAGCGGAGGTGTTTTCCCACCTCTGGCTGATGTGTATGATGATGATGATGATGCGGATCCCGCATGTGACACTTTAACGCCACCACTTCTTGGAGCTTGGTCGTTGGGATTACACTACACCGAAACTCTGGCAGGGAATGTTGTATTCTCGCAATGAAGCCAAGGACACCTTCTCCAGGGCACTGACGCGAAGTTGAGAAGGAATACCTCGCTGTGTAGGTGTTCAGTCCTGAATTCCACGACTCGCTGAGGGTTTCTAACGTGCTGTTTAGTGTTGGCTTCTCATTAATATGGAGAGATCAAAATATCTGGTCTTGATCTCCCAGAAAATATCGTAGTAATTTAGTTTGGTGACGCTCTGAAGGTGGTGTATTTCGTTGCAAAACTGGTAATAACTCCAAATAATCCCGAAAGATACGCTTCCAGCGAATTCAGTTATCCCGTATCGGTTTCTCAGAAGGAACACTCCGAAGTTATGCAGGTAAGTGTAACGTCGTGGTAATATATCCCCGTAGACAAAATGTCAGACACAGTCAGTAGCCCGATGGAGGAAACAGAACGCGCAGGTGTGACGTGCACCCGGTTAAGGTAAGCGTCCTACTTTACAGTGGCTAAAAATGTCGAAAGGAAAAACCTTCACCAGAGACGGAATCCTTGTGCTTGTCCAGAATCCGGATTGGTAACGGCGATCTGAAAAGCACTGGCCGATTTTCATATCTGGAGTGCAATTCAGACCAACCTATAGATGACGAGCGAGCTGCGCACCCGTGTATTGCAGGCGGCTGCCGCATTTGGAAAGCAGGAGAATCGGGTGTGGGACAACCACTAGCTGGCCGTATGCACGAAACTGATGGTATGCAAGTCGATGGTTCCGTATGGTAATGAAACCAGGACGCGTTATCGGAATGATATCAGTTATAAGGAGCGTTTCCGCCAACAGTGCCTAGGTCGGAATCTGTGCGTCGGCAAAGGTGAACAAGCTGTTGACACACAGGTGCTCAGCATGTACGCAGCGGACTGCATACTCCTGCTACAGCGCCTGAGGTAGCTCGGGCATGTCGGCCAGGTAGATTTGATCTGGATACCGAAACAAGTGCTGTACTGATAAGATGATGCAGGGAAGCAGAACGCGGGCAAAACGACGACACGTTACCATGACAGGATCAAGGTAAGTTTATCACGAACTAATGTTGATTTCAGATGCTTCGTATCAAAGGCAATGGAGCGGCGCGAAATGCAAGACCGTAACAAGAAGTTGGTTGTTCAAGTGTATGGGAAAGCACTGATGCATGCGGAAAAGTAACGTCATGTACGGAAGCGACAGACAGCAGAGCATTCTAGTAAATCGAAGTCAAGTGCATGATACTGTAGCATATGCGGTCACGAATGCCTCAGCCAAGCAGGCCTGGTATGCGACCAGCGTGGTCAAGCGGGGCCAACATCGAAAAGAGGACGAGTCAACGCACCGCCTGTTAAGTGCGCTGCTTCCGATTCCATTTACTAACCCAGGTAAATAATGCGGTTGATGTGACACGTGTGTTACACCATGGCTGCAGTTGGTCTGCACGTGTGCACGGGGTTGATTTTTGTGCACTACAGATGTTGGTTGTCGATTGATATCCCTAGTGTGGCTACGTATGATGTGGATGTTGACAAGGTGCTTATCTGTCGAAAAATCCCTACCTCGATTATATTACCTGCAAGAGACAGTTGGTCGTTGCTGGGAATGGCGAAGTGCACGGAGTATACATGACCGTGGAAAGCTCAAAGAGTGGTTCCATCCAGTGTGGAACGGACTATGGCCAAGTCACCACCTTGAGTATGTCTGGTACGCATGATTCCTCAATGAGTCAGGAATGCTGCTGCTGTGCAGGTTGAAGGAGTGCGAACCGGCTCCGTTGATGAAATGTGGCTCCCATCCACATGCCTCCCGGTCTTGTTCCTTCGGGTTTACACCGGATATAGGGTGTGTGGATGAAGCTGTGGGTGGTGCAGCGCAAGCTACCCGTGGTCTTTCTGCAGTAACAGGCTTCCTGTGGCTGTCCAATGGAGACCGCGTTGAGAGGTAAATCCTGAACCAACCGTGTATGGGCATGTTGAGCATTCTGAGTCGAAATGTTGCCGGGCCACTCAATTTTTATTGTAGTTTCCGAATGGTCACAAGTAACTGATGCGGCACAGTGTTATCGAGTTGATTTTCGAGTACTATGAATGTGAGTATTAAAGTAACAGATTAAAATAAAAGAGGTGATGCAAACACTTCCACTTACTATCACCCAAACCCGAACAGTTTACAAACAGTTTACAAAGCACAATTAACGAGTAGTATTCCCTCTCAAGTAACTCTAGGTTGTCACTCAAAGTGATCGGAAAAATAGATAAGGCAGACTCTACATCCCAAGCAAAGCGTTACTTTAAACATCTGAGCAGCAGAAAGACGCAGATTCGCGCTTCACTATCCCTGTACACCAATCACATTCCACAAAATGGGAGCTATTCAGTCGCTCCAGTTTCTACAGAAACGGATGCAACACTTTGTGACCAGTCTCATACCAAACTATTTGAAGGCAGGAGTGTACGAGGAGTCCGGATTAAGTCCTCTAGAAAATCCAACGAACGGGCTCCAGAATGTGGGGAGAATTCACACTTTCATTCGCGTTTACAGTAAGATGACTAGCGCAAACGAGTGGACAAAAATGATCACATTCATCACAGTTCTGCGGATAGCGGCCTCTGGTCGGTTATTTTTGGCTGTGTTGACAAGATCACTTTGGGTTGGTTTTCTGCGTTCGTAGAAAGGTAGATACAATTCAGTTTCATTACTAATTCTGAAATTTTCGACTAAATATACTTATGTTTGCATCGCTTGGTTTCGGCGATCTTGCTATCGCCGTTTTCTCCGTCAATTGGCCGCCACCTTGTTTTCGGATTATTCACAATGCCGAAGCAGTCATCCTGTGGTACTTGCTCCAAGCTAGTCGGATACCGTGCAAAGGCCCTCACGTGTGTTTTGTGTCAAGTTAAATACCACATTTCATGTGTTGGATTATCAGTTGAGCATTTCCACCGTCTTTGCGACACCCAACACGATTTCGTTCAAACTATTTGTGAAAATTGTCGAAATAAGATATAGCCAGGAAGAGTAAAGCCGACATGTAGGCTTCATCATTTCGTTGCGAACAGCTCCGTGTGTTTGGCCCAACAACCTAGCCCGAAGAGCCTTCAGGTTTCAGCTCAGTCGTCCTCCTCTACCCGTGCAAACTCACCGAGACGAAGTTCAACCGTTGGGAGAAGCCCA